GAGTCAGAGTCGAAAAAATTGACTCCGTAGGGCTTTACACATCAACTAGACGATAAACAATGAGCAATTGATTGATGATAATAGTACAAGAAATTTATATACAATAATAATTAATTTTTCATTTCGATCACGTACATACAATTTTTGTAATAATGAACAGACCTCGCAGCCTTACTATTTTGCTGATTTTTTTGCTGATTCTGTAGAAGCGTCCTAACTTGACTACTTTTCACTGAAAATCCTGATTTACTCCTGATATTTCATGATCAATCCCTTTCTGACTATAACGGGTGTCCCATAATAACTGATGATAAATTGTTTTTGATATTTTTTACACTTTTTGTTGACCTAGAGAGCTGAAATTTTTGTCACATATATATATAATGAAGATTTTTTATTTCTGAAATTTTCAGCTCTCTAACTAAAATTAGTGATGAAATGCATCGAGAAAACTGAAATACATAAATTTTCGAAAATGATTTTTCAATATTTTTTCACTGTGAAAATATTGCAAGGTAGTTCTGTGGCAGTCAAACAAAAAATCACAAAGTATTCAGAAAACTTTATTTTATATCCAACTTTGTAGAGCTTTTTCCATTGATCATTTTGGAGAAAAAAACTTTTGAATTTTATTGAGAAATAATAATGTTATAGACAAAATACTAAACACTATAAAATGTAAGTAAAAGTCGATTCACATATCTCAAAATGGTCATATTCTGGAGAAATGTGACATAGTAGGTTTTGTAGAGGAAACTTTGCTCTACAAAATCGTATAGTCGGTTTCTTAGATACAGATGAATAGGATGAATAAACTTCGATTAAACATTGTTTGCGATATTCTTATTAAAAAAATCTGACATCTTCTGTTTTTACGATAAATATTTTGACTATAATATCGTCATTTTTTAATGAAATTTGAAAAGTTTTTTTTACCAAAATAACCAGCGAAAAAAGGTCTACAAAGTTGGATACGAAAGAAAATTTTCTGAATACTTTGTGATTTTTTGGTTGACTATCCACGAAACTATCCTGCAATATTCATTTCGAAAATTTATGTATTTCAATCTTCTTGATGCATTTCATCACTAGTTTTGACTAGAGAGCTGAAACTTTCAGAAATGGAAGATCACAATTAGATGTATATATGATAAAAATTTCAGCTCTCTAGATCAACAAAAAGTGTAAATAATATCAAAAACAATTTATCATCAGCTATTATGGAACAGCCTTTATCTGCATGATTATTACGCTTTCTTTTGTTATAATCAGTTTATTTTCAAAATTTATACAAAAATATTTGTAGGTTATTTTCAACAAATCAAGAAACATAACATTCAAATAATATTAATTTTGATTCATTCATTTTTCCTGTTTTTCCATACTCCATTCAAATTTTTATTACTTTCAATCAATTGAATTTTTAAAAGAACTGACATAGTGTTAGCAGCTGCTACAAGTACTTCAACTATAACAATGTTATCAAATTTGTAATTGATCATAACAAAAACAAGTCTTGCATACGCTTTCTCCAACATTTTATCATATGTTTATAAGTTAATAGTTGAATAGTTGAAAACTCGAAGAAAGTTTTAAAAGTCAAATCGACTATTCGACTTCTACACTACTGTGAAAATGCACATCTGAAGAGAACTTTACGCTGCTGCACAGTTGATTCCACTTCTTTTGAGTACCATTGCTCAATCAGCCATGGGAGTTTGACGGGTGGCGGCTCTCCACTGTGCTGATGAAAAATTTCCATTTTATCTCAGCAAAAATTATTTTTGTACTTCGTAAGAAGATCTTATAATGGAATAAAAAATTGTGTCCACCTTACCAGATCTGAAAAAATTTCTTTTGTACTCCGCTCTCCCACTTTTTCTCTTTGCCACTTTTCCGCAGGTAATGGATGAAATTTCTTTGAGATTTTGTACTTGATATGGGCAGTATGTGTTATGGGTGTTTTCATCTAAACTTTTAAAAAATCTTTCACGTCATTTTCGACCCATGTCCATACTTTCCTTCATGATAGTATCAAACAACTGATTTTGTCATTTCCGCGGAATGTACAGACGTAGGTCAAAATTTAATTGAGAACTATCACAAAATCAACCTTTACAATATCGCAAAGAGTCACGCTCAACTTGGCTGCATGCATAAGACCGAAATATTTAGCGGACTGCAAAATGCCATTATCAGTCCTTCTTCTTTTTCGAATTGAGTTGGTGTTCCAAAAACCCATCAGACTTACTACCTGAGTGACCACATTAGAATTATATTTATTACTTAGGTGTATGCACCGAAGTTCTTGACTGTCATATTCCCAAAACCACATCTCGGTCTCTTTTTCCATTCGGGAGCTATTGAAAAATTCAAAAACTTAAAAAAAGGAAAGGTGTGCTTTATAAAGTACGCTGGTACTCAAGGAGTTAACCTACTTCGACGTTCATCAAAGCAACTTACGTTTTTATTTTGACTAACCATGATCGCTTCATTCACTTTGATGCAGACTTAATCCTTAAAAAGCACTATAAGATTAACTATTACAATTCTTGATTTTTCTTAAAAATTCTCCTGGCTATTTTTCTGATTTTGGAACATATGTATGTCGCTGCGCTTACCAGACTTTTTGTTATAAATACCGACAATTGCTTGATCTTGCAATACGAAAAATGAGAATAAAGGTTCAGCTACGATATGTTATATACAATCAAAGGGTAAATTTCGACATTTGATAAAAAAATAAATTTAAAAAAATAAGCTCGAAAACCCTGTTGCTTTTTCAAGCTATGTCCTATAGTCACTTTCTTATCTACTAATCATAATGTCATTAAACTTCTTCTATCAACTTGATATGTTCTTTTTTTTAAATCAGTACAGCAGCTTTCATGCACAAATAGTTCTGAAACACAATAAAAATGAATAAATCAAGTCAATTCAAGCTTTCGTACGCATTAACATAAGTTGTAATCTCAAAGATAGTTCATTTTATTCATATATAAACAATTTTCATATCTTCATTTTCAGTTTGAATATTATTTCAAATTAGTTTACTGCATTTTAAAGATCGATTCCATCAGCCATAAAACTTAATAGTCATCTGAACTTAATGAAAAATATCTAAAATAATAAAGCAACACACTCTTCAAGTTTTCAGAATAATTTCTATAACACTTATTTATTCTTATAAAAATTAAATGTATATGTTATTGAAGTGAAAAATTAACTATAACTGTATGTTTTGTTTATAGTATTATCCTTCAATTGATTGTTATTCGTTGTTCAATTGATCTACAATAACTTCGATACGATATTATTATCAATAATATTTCAGAGGAGATTATTATTAATTCATTTTCTTTTTTTATAGCAAGAATAAATAATCATGCTGACTTTTGATGAAAACTATGAAGATTAACTTAATTATTTTCAAATAACTGATGTAGAAAAATTTAATTTTTCTCTTGTAACTAATGATAATACTCTCAACTTCAAAGAATTCAATTCTGTTGCAAGTAATTATCAACAACTGAAATCTATTTTCAGAATCTAAGTAATCAATGTATATTTTATTTTGTATTTTAACTAAATATATCCAAATAATTTTTTTTAATGTACAATACAAATGATAGTAGAATGGTTGGCAGTTTTTTTTTGTATTATAAATGAATTCTAATCATCAGCAATGACTCATTGAATTTTTTTCTATGATGATCTTAAAAATGTTAAAAATTTCTTCATAGTAGACTAAACTCAATCAAAACTATCTGCTTGTATAAAAGAAAAATTTTCAACTATGTTACAATAACTCTAAACAAAATATGTTATGATATTTCGAACTGTAGTTATCAATATTACAGTCAATAAATATAGAAAACTGAAAGTATGCTAGAGACATATTAGTACATATTCTGATTTCGTTAGTTACCTTTAAATAATCAACCATATTTTAGATGAATTCAAAAATTCTGTAAATGATTACTTAATGAATATCACAAATAGAAATGTATGAGTTGAGAAAATTCTGTTTTCAAAATGTTCTTTCATTAGTTGCATAACATTCTTACCTGAGTATTAATAAAATTACAAACTTCATACAGCTTGTATCCTTAAAAAAACTATTTTCAATACCTGATCTTATACTATAATTAGTAGTGTAACCAGAAAAAAGCAATAGGAGAAGAGGGTGCTTAGCTCTCTGATCATGCCTATAGAGAGGACGGAGACCATCTGATAACGCTTCTAGAGAGGACTTGAGTCTCTTTTAAGTGGAAGCTAACCTTTGGAGGCGGAAGAGCTCAAAACATTCTGTGAAAGCTGAACACCATCTGGTAACGCCACTAACTATAATATTCGTTGACCTTGTACATTCCTATACAACAAATACATTCGAAACGCCTTAAAAAGACGACTCAATCAGTTTTGTGACAGTTTTTCGTAAAAAATGTAATTTCTTTCAGTCGTTCATATTAACAAAAGTGACTGATAGAAAATCAAACAATTATATACATAAAAATTTCAAGACATATGAAATAAATCTATTAACGGAACATAGATTTTCAATCATTTAAAAAGGAAATATAAACTAGTTTTTATTTTCAACTATACATAAAATCTCTCATCTCTTTATTTAAATATATTAAAAAATAATTTCGTTTCATGTTTACATGTAATGAAACGCTGTTGTCAATTGTTTCAGTTAAATATTCTGTATCATAGTGATCATAATAAATTATCGATGAAGCATATTCATAAACACTTGACGAATATAGATTAACGATGTCTAAAATTGATTTAATAACAAATTAAAAAAAATTTCATTGAAATAAAATATACCTCAAAGAAGATATCCTTCTTTTGCTCGTACTCAAACACTTGTTTCGGAATTGACTCACAACAATTTATTATTTCACAAGTCATCAATAAACAACCTATTCCTATTGACGAAACAGATAGACCCATACAACAAATATCTAAACAGTATAGAACATGTTAAACTATCAATCATATAAAAAAATGGTCTTACCAGTTAAACATAACACAATCAATTCATAAGTTAATTGTCGAAGACGATCTCGAATGGAATAATTCAGCACATGTAATAGAATTGCTTCAACATAGTTGATCGGTGTTATTATATCAATATCCCAATCAAGTGTATTGCATATCAAGTTTTCATTCGTCTAAATATAATGACAATTATAATTACACAACAAAAAATTATTAAAAAAAATCCTTACTAATAATGAATTACTATTGAAAAGTGTTATGTTCAAATGAGTAGAATGTTCATTTAGTTTTGTTGCCAACGATAAACAAGCAATAAGAATTGATTCATCTATTTCATTTGTACATATTGAAAGAAGAAGTTTGTGAAGAATAGCATTAGCTCGTATGAAGATTTCATTAGATAAGTGATTCTTTTGAACTAACTATTAATCAAAAATTATTAATAAAAATACAAAAGTATAAATATATATTGATTATTACCTTGAATAATCTCATTGATTGTTGAAATTTAATAGTAGAAGAAATCAAAGACGG